CTTATTCATAATATAATTCCAATAGACTGTATTTACAAGTAGAATACGTCCAATTAGATTGGAACGCCGGGTACCCTACTCTAACACAATCATCAAGCTACCGACCGTTGCCGCATCCCCTCCACTCCCGTACTCGATTCCCCTATCTCTTTCTGACACACGCAGGATCTGTGGCCAGGGGTCTGGTGCTAGTGGAGTCGCTGCCCTCAGCCCGTCGTCTGATAGCAGACCGTCGGCGGCCATAGCCTTCCTCCACCGCCGCCATAGTCCATTTCTCCCACCCGTCGCTCTCTCTCATCCGATCTATATCTTGAATGTCTACAGTCCGCCGGGACTTTTTCCCACTCGTCTGCCCGCCTTCCATCGTGATCAGAGATCGAGAGCCGATGAGAAGATGCTCTTTCCACCGAAGCCCCTTGTCGGATCTATAGTCGGAGGTGGGGAATAAGGCCCACAAATCGTCAGTCTCCAGCACCACCATCAAAGGACTGCCATCCCCAGCTGCTGGTAGCAACGTCACCGCCGCAATGTCCCGAGAAGATAAATGTAGCTGCAGTCTGGCTGAATTTTATTAAACGAATCGAATGTTTGCCAACAAAAGCTCATTTGAGCACGTTCGTGTTTGACATAAGCTCGTTCATTTGTTAATCGAGCCGAGTTCGAACAGAAAATTAGGCTCGTTTAATAATCGAACGAACACGAGCTCGTGCGTGAACGTTCGATTATGTTCGCGAACATTAATTTAATATAATTTTATTTAATTTTTTGTACATTTACATAATATTTTTAATAAAAAAAACTAAAATTTAATATAGTTTTATTTATTTTTATATATATACATAATATTTTTAATAAAAAATCTAAAATATAAAAATATTTTTATTATATTCTTTTATTTTCGAGTTCGAACGAGTTTGAACGAACAAATTTCGAGTTAATCAAACATATTTAAAAAATTTATGTATTAAATTATTCAAATACGAACGAACTCGAACTCTGACGAACAATTACACGAACGAACTTGAACACGATTTTTGCTTGAAAAATAAATGAACGAACACGAACACTGTTCGAACATAAATGAACACGAGCTCGAACAACCGAAGCTCGGTTCGGTTCGGTTCGTTTAGAATGCTAGTCATGGGGGCATATTTGCAATTTGAAACTTTTAATCTATATTTCAATTTAATATTTGGGGCCAATTCATTAATTTAATGAATGTTCAATTCATGCACGTTAATGATACATAAAATGCACGATATCGTATGAGTAAATGCACATTACAAGACAGACATATTTAAACGTAATTACATACTTGAAACCGCCTACACATTTAAAAATTTCACAGATTTACCAAAATCCCACCTCGCTTAGTGTTGTTATCGGTTCGATCAAAACGATCAATCGAAATGTTCATAATGAAACAACCGAGTCTAACTTTTGGAAAAATGTGAACCAACCGAATTTTTATTCCATACCAAAATAAAATCCGAACAGAAATGATCGATTTATTCGATTTAACCTAAATAACCAAATTAAAATGTTATTTTATATTTACAAAGTTTTAGGACCAACCGAATTTTTGTTGAATATCAAAATAAAAAACATAACAGATGTAGTGCCCGTTTGAATTATGTATTTTCCTGGATTATTTAATTATCGTATTTGATTTTATTCCGATAATTGCTCGACATTGTTCTGTTTAGACTTATTTTATTTAATTAGATGACGTCTAATTAATAGTATAAGTCGTGCGATTCTATTAATCTTGTCAACCGCTTTATAATCCGAAATCCTTCGGTTCCTCGCATTGTGAAATCAAGCTTCGAATTTGATAATCAGCCCAATTTATCGGGAATATTTTTGGTCCGTTTTGGGATATTTATTTTTCCAGCTTAATTAGAATTTATTTCTAGCCCGTTTGTGCTAGTTAATTCTCGGGCCTTTTGTGCTAAATATTTCGGCCCTTAATTGATTTATATGACCCATTTGATTATTCTTTTACTTGCCCAATACCCTTGTATTATTCTTGGCCCATCCTTTTTATCTTTTTCACGTTCAAAACTCGTTGAACTGTTCTTCCCTGATGTCTCCTTAAAAATCTCGCCATCACCAAGCACTCAAGCAGTAAGACCATAATCCTCTCAAGCAAATTATTCCTCAAAGCCACATATATATTTTTCCCTCTCGGCATATTCAAGCAGCCGTGCACGGAGGCCTGTCCGCGAGCAGCCGCTCCCCAACCTCCACGAACAGCGAATCGAGCCATCAGCCCAAAACAGCCGAGGAATCGAAAACTCTCTCGGACCCCGTCAGCCTTCCTTACCCGACAAATTCTTTACCGAGTGGCCTTCTTCCTCCGGTGAACAACCGCTGGCCGCCGCGCTCGAGCCCGGCACCGCACGTCACCATTCTCTGTCATCGCCGGGAGTCCACGCCAAGAACCCAGCCGCGAGACTCGTAGCCCAGCACCTCTGCGAACTTATGGTCGTCGCTAGCGCTCAGCCACGAGTCGCCATCGCACGCTGAGAACAGAGTCGTCGCCGCGCGAATCGCCGCGCGTCAGTCGGTCCCCGACCACTGCTGCCCTGAATCGGACCACGGATCTAAGATCTGGGTTCCTCTTGTCCGACGCCGCGCCCTGGGCAGCCATCTTCAACCGCCGTCGCCGCACAAATCGCCTCGCCTTCAAACCAGGTGCCCGCACCTCTCAAAGCCGCCGAACCGGGACTCTGTAGCTTCAGGATTTAGAATGCAATTTCTGAAATTTAGGGATTTTAGTTTAAAAATTAAGAAGAAGAAGATGAGGAGATGGAGAATGTTGAAGTTCAAGCCAAGAAATCGTGCCATGACATGCAGCTGCTTCCTTTTTCATCTTTTTCATTTTATTTTGTTGTTTTCTTTGGTTCAAACGCGTGTCTGCGTTTTTATTAGTTTGTTGCGTTTCTGTTATTTGAACTCATAGGTTACGACGTCGTCTAGGTTACGACGTCGTCTTCCTTTATGAGGAACGACGCCGTTTTATTTCTGTTCTTGTCGTCTTGCATGAGAGTGTATATATATACACTCATTATGTACGTACAGTGTGATTTTTGATTTTATGAGCTAAGAAAAGGGTTTTCCCCAAAATATCTAGTTTTGTTGTTTTACGGATTCAACATGGTATCAGAGAACATAACTCGATTCTGGAAATTTCCTTGCTGAAATCGAATCGCGATTCAAGATGATGAGGCGAGAGGAAGCTTTTAATGCTGCTAATG